TTGTCTTAACTGACCTTTGTTATCCTTAGGGCTGTGATTTCTGTATATTTATATCTGAAGCACGCAGTACCTAGTAAGAAAAGATTACAAAGGTCTGGGAGGCAGTGCCAAGTTTGCTTGGGGTTGTACATCAATATTCATGAAGAAATTGCCTTTCATCATGAGAAGGGCTTGAGTGTCACTTCATCATACCATACTTAGTTGTCTTCATTACATAATGCTGTTGATAACTCCAAGTAGCCAAATATGTTAAGTAATTAAAATAAAAAAATATTCATGAAACAGAAAAGAGAAGTAATCAAAAGTATGCCATAAGCAATAACTTGATCATGATTTTATAAAACTGTATGTCATCGGGGGCTTTATCTTAAAGTCCATAAAACAGTATAATTTTGAGAATCACTGAAAGAACCACAAACTTATTATTTAAAGTTAACTGTTCTGATTATTATGAATGCACAACTTTATAGAGAATCCAGGCATATATATTATTATAACATCCATACGTAACCAGAGTAGCTTGTGTTTGCTTGAGCCACCATAATCAGCTGATGTTACATTGTTTTATTCTAGGAAAATACTTTGTAGATTTTGAGATCCCAGAGGATATGTCTAACTTGTGGCAGTACATGTACCACATGTACCAGCTGGATGCATTTACCCAATCCTGTCCAGCAGACCAGGACATCATTAACCACTACAAGCTGCAGCAGGGGACCAAGATGAAGAAACACGAGGAGCTTGAGACTCCCACATATACCACATCCATCCCACCCACTGTTGACATCAATGGACACTAGGAGAAGTGATTCAGTTGTCATGGATGTGAGAATAATTTTAAGTTAAGGCTTGTCATCAGAGCTTCGTATTGGCTCTTGTTAGATCTTATGTTACTTCTTCATTTGTTTTGCTATCTGTAATGGCACACAGAACTTTAAAAAAGTATCCTTTTCAGTAAGGTTGGCGTAATAATCTTCCACCAAATTATCAGATCAAATGATTAGCTATTACATAAGTAGTAAATTTTAAATCTTGTCCTAACTGTAAAATTTGTATTTATAGTTTAATAATAAACCTTTATGATAAGTTGACTGAAGTCTTGCAATAAATCATAAAAAATCAAAACAATTGTGAACCTTTTTATTAATTTGTATTGACTATTAATGTTTTTTTTTATCATCTTTACTTTGTTCACTTAGGACATTAGTTACAGTTAATTTGTTTTTTTCCTGTTTGCTCATGTTACTTAATGAAATTTTCATTCATTTTTCTGATATGGAAATGTTGGAAGAACAGTTACTTTATATCTTATCAGCTTTAAATTTTTGTTTAAGTTAATTTTGGAAAATAAAAAAAAATTGATATAAAACTATTAAATTATTTTTTGTGGTCTTTTGATGAAGTAGAGAAAGAAGACACTGTATAATTACAGCTTCGGTGATTATCTGTGGTTCATTTTTTTGTGTGTTGTAATTATGTTTGGTTTAAAGTTTGACAGTGATGTTGTGTTACAAAGGTTTTACTGAAATTTAAATACTATTAAATCATATCAGAAATCAATAAATAAAATCAAGGTTTTATAATTTTGCATCCAAAGGTAGTCAAAATAGGAGAGACCTTTTTTTTTTTTCAATTTGTGTCGGATTAAAAGGGCTAAAGTTCTGGTAATTGCATATTTTATATATTGTTCAGTATGTTACTTAATTGTTTATTCTTACATTGATTTAAAACTTACTCTACAGTGTATTGGTTTGCTATTTATTACTATAGAAGAATTTATCAGCATTCCCCATTCTGTTGTTTCTCAGATCTGGGAACTGACCATTTACCCATTCATTAGGTTAAACCGTAAACTTCTAAAAAAAAATGTGTGTACATGAGTAGCATAGTGAAGCAAATGACTTTAAAAAGTTTTGGCATCTTCTCTTGAGTTTTGTCATAGCATGACATGCATGGTTTAAGTGTAGTTTTTTAAATAAAATATGAATATATAAATATATGTAAAGAGAATAAATATCTCAAGTTTTCAGATATTTCAAGATACTAATATTCTCACATGTAAACAGTTTGTTTTTTCATATTTGCAGTGTTGTACCAATAGAGTAGGCATGTTGAAGTATGCTTTGCGATGTCACATTTGAATGAATTTACGGTAATTCTTGTTACATGTGTTCTGTTTATGATTCATAGAATTTACTATTAATGTGATCTTGGTTATAAGATGCACTACAGTTCTCAAAAACCATCTGAATAATCTAAAAACAAGAATTGAAATCACTCAGGTAACTGGATATCACTGATAAACAAAAACGTGTGTTGTTTTGAAATTATTATTTTAAAAACTTTCATATACTGCATACATCAGAATAAATGTTTGCATGCGTTATCTTTTCTCTCTATCAGGTCTATCCAGTGATCAGATGTTTAGTTATTTCATCATAATACCATGCTGTTTACGTGATCAGATTATGTTGCAGAAAACAATTTTACCTGCACCAGTTCTTATGCCTACAAAATTATCAATTTTATATGTAAATAGATAGCTAGGAACGTGTATTCATCCTAGGTATTTGTTTTCAGTATATAGACTTTGTGCTTTTATTGATATTAGTATATCCTAATTAGGGAAATTAAACTAAGTTAGTGTACATTACGTCAGAACATTAGAACTTAATCACAAAGAATGTTGATGAATGAAAATAGCTAGTTTGGAGAAGTTTTGTTTTTCTAGTTTAAAGTTTTCTAGTACAGAAATGTTATGTAGAAACAGTACCATGTTATCACTATGAGCTTAACAACAAAAGGAAGGTTGTAGTGTGGACATGCTGTCACACCATTACATCATGACTAGAATACCAGCAAAGAGAGATGGTAGCATGAACTGTATGTCATCATTTGATTATTAACCGTTTACAATTGGTGCTTTCTATAACTTTAATGTTGCAATTGCATTTAATACTTTTCTACAAATAATACATCACAGTTTTTGAACTGCAAATATTCTGATTCACTTAGCCCTAATAATATTTGATCAAAATTTGTTTTCACAAGTCTGTTGATCTAGGAACTCTCACTGGTGGTCTTGATATATTAATTTTTGTATTTTTTTAAATCAAAGCATTTGTGAATTGTACCTGGGCCAGTTTAATTATTCAAAATAGTTTATCATAAATAATGCACATCAAGTTACTTTGTTTGGTACAAAACTTTCAGAAAATGAAGTATTATTCAATACAAAGTTCAATATTTTAATAGTTTGCCCTAAGGTAATTTGATGAAAATTTATATTTTTTCTGTAATGTTTTGTAGAAATTTTTTGTATTTTCTATAAGTCAGCCAAAAAACTTTTTAAGTAATTTTATGTAAGAAAGATGCCCTATATTTTTCTAATGTGTTGCATTTGACCACATGTATTTGCCTATATTTTATTGTGTCTTTATGTAATAAAGAACATTTTGTGTCTTCTGAATTGCTATGAAACATTTATTTTTAACGTATAAAAACAAAACATCTTTTTCATTGAGTACAAAGGAGATAACCAAATCTACTTGGCAAAAGTAAGAATATGAAGTACAACTCTTAAGTATTATAACTAAAACAAATAAAAAATATATATAGCAGTATACCAACTTCTGTAATTTTATGACTTCGGTTTATAGTTAAAACAGGGCATAACCAACTCATTTCACCTATCCTCAGCCTCAATTATTTGATAATTGTCTCACCAGAAAAATTGATGTTCAAAATTATTCTAGGCTTGTCTCAGTTTGTGGTGAAGTAGAAACAAGAGAAATATAGAATATAATAGCGCACCTATTAAAACCTCTTGCAGCCTACCTATATTTTTGAAAGTGGTCCCATTTTTTTTATTTTTTTTTGTGAAAATGACTTAAAATCTTTTTCAATTAATCTGAACAACAGGTGTAAGCATTTTGAAGTTATCATAAAAATGTTCAAAACAAGACTTGAAATAAAGGATAGTTCTTCGCTGTAACACTTAACATAAAATCTGAAATATTAGTATTTTTTTAAAAAACATAGCCAAAGAAATTGTGCAGAAATGTTATAAGACCTACATTTTTTGGCCAATAATAGTATAAAAAATTATAATTTCATGTTTCAAACATTTTTTTATTAAACACGGACTGGAGGCCCACTATCCATAAAAATCTTGTTTTATAAGTATTGGAAAGTGCACTAGCACTCTATGTAGGGAAAGCATGGACACCCGTATTAAAGCAATATAAAAGTCAAGTGGATTTTCTTCTCTATGGTTCAACAGAGGCTAGATATGAAGAGCTACCTGGAAAAAGTCGCTCTATCTCTGGTATATATGCCGCTTTTCAGTTATCCAGAGCGTCCCGAAGTCGAAAGCCAACGAATAACAAAAACGTAGATTACTTATTTTCGTTAATCATCATCTTTCTTCAACAGGCTTGGCGGCTACCTAGTTTTAGCAGTAACTATACTTTTTTCATCACTTGTTAGAGCAAAACAGTCTTCACGATTTTTCACTACCTATTTTATTATTATTCTATGCAAAATTTGTAAAGGTTTAGAATACCTAGTAATCCACCTACGCCATCTTTTAAAAGAAAGTAAACAAGTATAAGGAAAAAAACCGCTAAATAAAAAATTATGTAGGGCTGGGTACTAAACTTGAAAAAAGGAACTAAACAAGATAGGGATGGAAGTGGACATATCACTTGATCGGCTAATGATCACATAGCAGATTAAGCTGTCTCGATTTTACATGGAGAATAGAATTCCTACATTACTGGCAAAACAAATAGAACCGGAATTTCCAATCGTAAAATGTTACTGTATTGTAAAAGAGTCATAAATGTAGTATTCTAAAGTTAACTGAAGGAAAAGTGTAATGAATGATGAGACCCGAGATTCTATTCAAACAATAAGCTGGGAAATCCAGTAACGTATGGATTTTATTCTTCTTGTTTGGCTCCTTTTTTCGAGTTCAGTAACCAGCCCTAAATAGTCTTTTTTTTTACTTAGCGATAATTTTTTCCCTTATACTTGTTCATGAACCTGTGTAACTGGATGCGGTGCAGTACAGCCTGAAGATTTCAAATTACTTGTTTGTAGATTTCTTGCTGTAATAGCATACTCTTAGTTTTAATTTTGAAAAAAAAAAAAAGCTTTTTTGAGTTTTCTCGTCAAGTAGCCTTGGAGAGACAGAACTACATCAGACAAGGATCGTCAAGTAGCCTTGGAGAGACAGAACTACATCAATCATGCCGGAACCAGCAACAGAAACTTCCAAATTTCAATTGGAGAAGAAAACTGAAAATGAGTTTAACAGATAAAAGCAAAAATAAAATTCTTACAGCATCAACCTACAATACAGTTAGGTCTTTGCTTTTCAAAACGGTTGCTAATGATCGACTGTTGCAGAAAATCTTTTTTTATATATTTAAGAAACTAGAGATGATGGGTCATATACAGGATTTTTAGCCGTGACACATAGAGAGTGGCTCAGAGTTTTTTTTTTTTGTTGTTGTGTTTTTTTTTTCAAGTACAAACTTTTAACTCACTGCTCCGTCATCTCTTGACCGATTTTAGATCTAATTACAGTTTTGGACTCGGGAGATCAAACCCTTTCGATTGATGTATTTGATCACACCCAAGGTCTCATAGATTAATATATTTTAACCCCGCCTAAAAGAATTTCAGTTAGAGGGTAGTCTGGTAGAGATCCTGATGAGTAATAAAATCAAATCTTGTATACGCGCGTCCCATGCTTGGTATTGCTTGCGCACAAATTTATTTTTGTGCATTTCTGAAAAGCACCAAAGTAAAACTTGAAGTGAATAATTCTGAAATCAAAATATCCTTGTCTGATGTAGTTCTGTCTCTCCAAGGCTACTTAGCGATCCTTGTCCAACTTTGTTCTCATAGCTCCACTTCGGAATTTTATTCGGAAAGCTTTAGAGCCTTAGACCTCAGAGATATGCCTGGCCATTTCTGCTTTCTGAGTTATTATCATGTTGTTGTAATGAAATTTAGAAGTTCTGCATGAGAAATATCTCATAGAGTTGTATTTCGGTCACTTCAAATAAAATAACCTGTTTGTGAGCTTCACTGTTGACACTAGAACTTTAGCTCTCCATGTCATTTTTCAGTAATTATTCATTAATTTAAACCTATATGTCTTTTTAATTTATCAAATTATTCTGAAAATCTTTGTTTCAGCTTATTATTTATTAGTCCATTTGCTTATTGGACTTTTTCACAAAAATTTGGGAGCCAGGATGCCATCTTTTCCATTAGTTTTAGAATTGTTTGACTTTTGATCCATTAGTGGGTAGTTTTCAAGACTTAATGTGTCTTAAATCGAGATCATATTCTGAAACAATTTAATCCTAATTTAATGAGTTGTTTTTATATCATTCGCTACTGGAGGATCCATATACACACATTGCATCAAACTGAGTAATTGTATGTTATTGTTGTTTTGCCAGTTACAAAATGCTTTGTAAAGAATTAACCCAAAAACAGTTAGTGAAATCATTCATTTTTTTATGTAAAATACACAGGGGACTTTAATTACTTAGTAATTAATGGGACTAATTGCAATATTTATTGCTTTTTATGACTCGTATAATATTAGGGGCCCTGTAACCAACAATTTTATTGAATCATAAGCAATTTGGTGCATAATAGTTTAAGAAATGTGTAATTATAATCTTTTAAAGAAAATATTAACGAATAAGAAAAAAAAAAAAAAAACAGCAGTGGAATATTTAAAACGAAATTCTAATTTGATTTTTAAATAATTTTATTTTCTTACCTGTGAGGTTGAGAGGGGCATAATAAAATTTATTTTAGACTTACTAGCGATAACATATATATTGATACAATCGTTTGATTACTTGACGCTAGGTTCCAAACGGTCATACTAGTCGATTTTCACAATCGAAGGTGACTAGACCACAATTAGCTATATAAACGTTGGCTAGAGGGCGCTCATGGAGAGTATCTAGCTTCGTCAATGCTTCTAAAACACCAAATCCTTCAATTACTTGTCTGTGAGAATAAATATATCAAGATATTTTAAAATTATTATTAATATATTTGTGAGTACACGTTCAAATGAAATTGATAAAAAGGATGTAAATGATTTTACACATTAAAAAAAGAACGCAATTTAAACCAATTTCTCTGTATTAAAAGATCAATGATGTATAGTAAGTAAAATATAAAACCGTTACCTGATTGTATTAATTGCTGATACTCCTCCCCTCCATTACTTCAGTTTATTCGCCCAAATATTTAACTTACCCAAAAGCAACATACACCTTGTTCATCCATGGGGTTGCGCACAACGTAATATAGAATTGAGATGCATTTGAATTTCGTCCCTTATTGGCCATACCCAGCACACCTTTCGTATTGTGTTTTATTGCAAAACTTTCATCTATATTAGAAAATAATTGTATTATAAAATTAATCTTTTGTTAAGAAGTTGTTTGTAATGAAAGTTAGGCCGCTTTAGTTAAAATTTTGAACATATTCCTGGTGCTTTGATGTTTAAAAAACGCATTATGGTCAGGTATAATACTATTATCTTTGAAAATATAGTAAGGGGGCAAACCCCCTTGAAAGCTCCTGGAATTTATGATTAATGCTTTAATGACCTTAAACTGTATTAAAAAGTTTAGTGCCCATCAGTTTATATATTTGTTTCTTTCTGTTTTTTATTAATATATTTGTTGTTACCATTTCCTGCATTGACTTATACGTAAATTTGTTTTCTGCTTAATGAGAAGGGAGCCCCTGGTGATTCCATTAAGTATTTAATTATATATATAATTAAGTTTAAAATATACTTTAATTAACGTTTAGCTTGAAGTAACTGAAATTGTGAATTGCGTCAAAGTAAACTGATCAATTTAGTTATTTTTTTTAACTACAAAAGAGGTAGTTTTTTTATTACCTTACGCTACTTTCTGTATGTTAGTTTGTTTGTTTTGTTAATTATACACAAAGCTACACAAGGGCTATCTGTGCTCTGCCCACCACGGGTATCGAAACCCGGTTTCTAGCGTTGTAAGTCCGCAGACATACCGCTGTGCCACTGGGGGGCCTGTATGTTAGATTTGGTGTACAAAACTATTATACAGATGGTTAGGTAAGTTACATTAAAACGATTTTATTATGCGAATCGGCAAGTTACGTGACAGCCACAGCCAATTTAAAATCGCGGTGGACGGAATGTATCAGAATTATATTTAGATATTGTTTGGCATTAGATAGGTAGTGCATTGCTACTGATAACTGATTAATGGAACTAAAGAAGAATGCATAGCAACATATCATATGTAACAGCCCTTTCCAACGCAAAAATATTCATACACTCAGGTCATAAAAATGTGTTCAAGTCGAGGATTTAGAATTTCCAAGACCGAGATATTTCTTGTATTTAATGCATTGAAAAAACAAACAAACAAAAGAATAAGGATCAACTTGAGCAACTAGTACCATGCAGAAAGAGACTTCCAACAAGTCTTACCTTAGCCATGGTAAGCAAAATGCCGGGTCTTGTAAGAGGTAAAAATCCACGAACACAAATTTCAGTGACAAAAACCGTCGACGTGCATCAGACAAGAGTATACAACATATTCAAGAATGATCTTCTTCTGGTAAAGCAACATTAGTTGCTTCAACAACATATTGTCAAACTGTGGCATATAAGAAATAAAATGGATGACTTTAGAGTACTGGTCGGAGCAGAGAATTTTGATGTAATGGGGATTACTGAAACCTGGTTAAATATAGCCAATTTTGTTGATAGGAATTTCTTTGGAATATAGGGTTATGGGTCGTTTAATAGGGTTAGAGTTAGGGGAGGAGTGGCTTTATATACAAAATGTGAGTTACACCCTTTTCAAGTTGAGGAGAGCAAAACTAATGGCAATTAGGTTTAATCTGCTTAAGTCTCCGCTAGTTGTTACAAGGGGAAAAGGCTTCTAGCTGGAATTTGTTATAGACCACCAGATGAAACAGGGAGATAAAGAAGTCGGTTATTAATGAGGCTATGATTATGGGAGATTTTAATTTCAGGCATATAGCCTGGGAAATTGTAAAGACAAATCGTGAGGGAGACAGGTTTTTAGAAACTGTTCAGGATGTTTTTCTGCATCAATTGGTTAGGGAACCTACTAGGAAGAATACTATTTTAGATTTATTTTTAACTTATAATATAGAAGTGGACAAGTGGTTGACAGGGTAGAAAGTGAAGAATACCTAGGTGCAAGTGATCATCAATTAGATATGATGTTTTGCTGCATATAGAGATAAGGCATGGTGAGATTTTGATTCCAACTTAAAAACAACAACAACACATTGTTAAGAGAGGAGACAAGAATTATCTGCTGTGAATTGGATAACTGAATTAATTGGATATATTGATCAAACGTAGAAAAATAAAAAAATGATTCATAATCATTCAAGATAGGCATGTTTTTTATTTAAAAAAGGTGACTGCAAGTAAAAAAATAGGTTAGCTCACAGAAGGTGGAAAGTATAACATTAAAGAAAAGCATTATAAATGTAAGAAGTTTAAATTGACTGCAAAGGTGTGAAATTTGGTCAAACATGAAATTATGTAATCAATATACAGATATTTTATGTTAGGATTGGAGTAGGGCCTTTGAAGGATGATTCGGGAATATTGATATCTGATGACTATGGGATGGCCGGATTATTCAATTCTACTTTTTCTACAGTTTTTACTAATGAAGATTTAAGCAATATTTCTCGTCCTGAACAGTTATTAGATGGAAACACGATTGAACAAGATGATCACATCAATTCTGAGCTAGTTTAATAAAGAAGGATAAAACTCTTAGGCCAAATAATATTTACCAACTGGTTTTGAAGGAGGTTAAGGATTGGATATGTGAGCCACTTATTACTATTTTTTTTCTAAGTCCTTGAATAATGGGAAGGTCGTTGAAGATTGAAAGTTGGCTAATATTAGTCCAATTTTCAAGTGAAATAATAAAATCTATCCCATTAATTATACTCCTATTAGTTTTAAATGAGTGATGGAAATAATTTTGAAGGTCTGATAAAAGATACTTTGCACAATCATTTAACAAAATTTAAAAGTATATTGGATAGTTATCATGGTTTCTCTAGGGGAAAACATGCCTGACTACTCTTTTGACATTCTTTGTTGAGGTTACTGTTTATGTAGATGAAGGTATGGTGTGGATTTGGTGTATCTGGAATTTCAGAAAGCATTTAACAAGGTGCCACATAAAAGACTTTTTAAACAAAGTAGATCTGTAGAAGTGGGAGATAAGTTGGCTCATTGAATAGACAACTGACTAGATGAAAGAAAACAGATGGTTGTTATAAATCTAGTTCAGTCAAGCTGGATTCATGTCACAAGTGGGTTTCTTTGATTGCTTTTAGCTAAGCACAAAGCTACACAATGGGCTATGTGTGCTGTAACCACCATGGGTATCAAAACTCGGTTTCTATTGTTATAAGTTCGCACAACATACCGTTGAGCCACTGGGGACTCTCAGTGTTAGGACCTTTGCTTTTTTTAATTTACATCAATGACATAGATTAAGGAATGGTCAATACATTATTTACATTTACTGATGATATTGTTACGTCTCCGTTCGTTAGTTAATTTTCCGTAAAATTCTTTCTGAAGAAACTTTACCGATACAAGTCCTTTCTTAAATAAAACTGGTTTATTCTTTCTAAATACAACTTCGAGATACACTTAATTTCAACAGTCGCGGTATAACAAACGCTATAACTCACAACGAATGTTCTACAATATTCTCTCTGTCCGCAGTTCAATTACTCAATACCTTTCTCGCCTCAGTTCTTACTGGTTTATATATACAAGACTACACTATGTCTAGAAGGATCCCGAGATTTAAGGAAGGGACGTGAATGTTCGAGAAGGACGTGGCGTGATACTAGTCACGTGACCTCCGCTGACGCAACAATATTAAAATTGTAGGGGGATGTTGCTGCTTTATAAAAGGATTTGGATTATTTGGTGAGTTGGACAAATAAATGGCAACTGGCTTTTAGGTAAAATAAATACAATGTGATGTATGTGGAATATCTCAATTTGAGTTATGAGTATAATTGTGATTGTAACAAACTTAACAGGGCTATGGAAAAAAGGATCTTGGTGTTCTGGTTGACCATTCTCTTAAGCCTTCTAAATAATGTACTGATGCTAGTAGCAGGACCAATAGGAATTTAAGTTTTATTTACAGAAATATTGAATACAAATCTCAAGAGGCTGTATAGGTCATTGGTTAGACCACATTTGGAGTACTGTGTTCAGGCTTGGGATCCTTACCTTGAACATTAAAGGGTTGTCATATAAGGATAGGTTAAGATCTTTGAAACTGTTTTCTCTTGAAAAAAAGAAGAGTTAGAGGGGATCTGATTGAATTGTTTAAGATAGTAAAAGGAATTGATAGTATTTATGCAGCAACTTTTTTCTTCAGCTAAGAGAGCTTTATTTTTCGAAAAGGGTGGTGAGCCTTTGGAATGGATTGCCTTCAAATATGGTAGATGCAATTAATTTAAAGGAGAATTAATTTAAGAGAATGCTTGATAAATATTTAAACGATAAAGGCTGGCTCTAAGTGTTTTACTTTTATTTCAGAGTTTACTATAGTGGATGGTACGGCCTAGATGGACCAACAAGTCTCTCCTCGTCCTTAAATTATATGTATATCTTAAGCAGCTGGAGAATTAAACATCTATGGATTCCTGTGGGATCGTACTATTGAAATGGACGCTGGAAAGTCATCGTCCTTGTACATTAGGTGTGATTATAGAACACCCTTATGGAAGCGAGGTGTACTTTGGATAAGACAGTCCTACAACGGAAACTACTCTGCAAGGCTATTGTCAATATGCACATTCGTCAAATAGAGGAAGACTGGACGTGGCGGCATTGACTGTAACACAATGGTGAAGCTCTGAATCGTTTTAATATAACATACTCAACATACTTTTTTGCTCTGCTACATACTTATTTGGTGTACTATTGTAGGCATTTTTATATTGAAATTTGTTACTGCTTACCGTTTTTTAAACAATAAAAAGACATTTTAAGAACAGTTCATTCTTGCAGATTAGTAAGGTATAACGAAATCGGTTTTGTTGTTTTTGTCACACACTCCCTCCCCTACAAAACGCAGACAATCTTGAAAAATTGTATTTTACCAAGTCAACATTCTTTTCTATAATTGACCTTTTAAATGTTTGAATAAAAGATTCAGTTTTTAAAAAAAATTACCTCCAAATATAGCTCCGAAAATGGATTCTCCGCCATTGCCTTTTCCACCAACAATATCTGAAAAGGCAAGTGACAATATGTGTCAAGTTTATACGCTGATGAAAGAAAAGGCAATAATTTATACTGTGCTGCCATCTAGTATCCGATTGTTTAATATTTAATATTTTGATAGTTCTGATTATTTTATCAAGATTTTCTACTTTATGTTAACATATTTTTCCAAAATTACGTTTTACGTTAAATGTAATTCAATATGAAATTGTTTTGATTCTTTAAGCTATCTTATTTTTCATTAAATAAATAGCTCAGTTATAATAACTTTAACTTACCCTCCAGCTTTTAAGGTTCAAGAACTTGAGTACTTTTTTAAATAATTACACTGTAGAATTGTGGCGTTATATAGGCTAGAAATGTTCAAACAATTCCCCTTGCCTGTGTTGATCAATGAAAAATTATATATATATATATCTCAGTTTGAGAATGGTTGCATTTCAGTGTTGCGATTCTTTAATTCTATAATTTGATCTAATATACAGCTTAACTTACCCCCACCTTGTATCCATCCGTTGGGAACGATACGATGTATAGGTGACTTTTTATAATTCAATATCACACCAGAAGGCGCTGTTCCATATTCACCTGTACACAGTGCTTTGAAATTCTGACATGTTTTAGGTGTTAAATCCGTAAACAGCTTTAAAAAAGTTCCAAAGAAATATTTATTAATCTCTCACTTCTTCTTCTAAGCTTTAGAATTCTCCTAGTTCCACGTCATGATTTCTGTTAATTTTTTCATTATGAAAATTACTGTTAATCTTCTCTTACCAAGTTATTTCCCGATAACCTTCCTTTGACAAGTTATACCCCAGTCTTCCCTGATAACATTCCCTTATCACGTTATACTTCAGTTTTCCCCTGACATCCTTCTCTTGTCAAGTTATACCTCAGTTTTTCTGATACCCTTCTCTTATCAAGTTGTACTACAGGTTTTTTCCTGACAAGCTTCCCTTACCGGATTATATCTCAGTTTTTTCCTAATTATCTTTCCTTATCAATTTATACCTCAGTTAAATTTTCCTGAAAAACTTCCCCTTATTAAGTTATACTCGTTTTTCTCTCCAGCCTTCCGTTATCAAATTATTCCTCAAAGCTTCCATGAAAACCTTTCCTTATCAAGTTATACCTCAGTTAAATTTTCCTGAAAAACTTCCCCTTATTAAGTTATACTCGTTTTTCTCTCCAGCCTTCTGTTATCAAATTATTCCTCAAAGCTTCCCTGAAAACCTTTCCTTATCAAGTTATACCCCTGTTTCTCATTGATAAATGAGTTCACCATACTTCGTATATTAAAAGTTTTAATACATAAATTGAAAATATTAGTGATTTGAGTGTTAACGAACACAGTTAATTTACCATATTTGTATAAATCGTGGTTTATTTTAGCATATATAGATATATTATAATGTTGGTGCGTGTACGACAAGATCTTATCGTTAAATGAAAGTTGTATAAGAGGTAAACTTGGTTTTATAATAAAATCTGACATTCATAGTGTTCTAGATTAGAAACTAGACATGATACCCTATTCACGACATGAACATATTAATTTCCCAACAATATATAACGAACGGCATGAACATATTAATTTCCCAACAATATATAACGAACGGCATGAACATATTAATTTCCCAACAATATATAACGAACGGCATGAACATATTAATTTCCCAACAATATATAACGAACGGCATGAACATATTAATTTCCCAACAATATATAACGAACGACATGAACATATAATTTCCCAACAATATATAACGAACGCCATGAACATATTAATTTCCCAACAATATATAACGAACGACATGAACATATTAATTTCCCAACAATATATAACGAACGGCATGAACATATTAATTTCCCAACAATATATAACGAACGCCATGAACATATTAATTTCCCAACAATGTATGACGAACGACATGAACATATAATTTCCCAACAATATATAACGAACGGCATGAACATATTAATTTCCCAACAATATATAACGAACGCCATGAACATATTAATTTCCCAACAATGTATGACGAACGACACGAACATATCAATGCCCCAGCAATGTAAAACGACATGAACATATTAATGTCCCAAGATGAATTATCGGTAAGACCGAAGGTTTATAATACTAAAATTCATGGTTCGATATCTGTGGCAAACATAGCGCAGGTCACCCGTTGAGTTGCTCTTTGTTAAAAAACAAGCAACATGTTAATGTCTGTAACATTAGTGTTTGAAACTCAGGCAGACGACTCCAGTTCTTTCCCACAACATGTACTGCATAAACTGTGCAAGTTCATGTAGGTAGAGTTTTTAAGTATTCTGTTGTAGGATACACAGAACAACCGATAATCAACCCCTGCCATTCCATCCAGGAACACCACTCCGTTCAAGATATTTTTCTAGTGATAAGCCGATGTTAAAATGTTTGATTATTTCTTGTAAGATATATATAAAAAGACAGATTAAACCATATAATGAATATTCTCTTTTCTCACATAAATAAATATAAATATATACATATATATATATATATATAGTAAAAACAGGTGTTTTCGGTAAGTAAAATTTTTGTCATTTAATATGATAGATATAAAGAAAACCTATTTAAGTTATTGAACCATATTCGGAGCACTAGCGCATTCTTTCGTCAAACTTACTAATTTGTGTACCCCTCCTTTATTCACGGTAGTTTGTTGGCCTCAGGACCAAGACCTTTAAGAAAAAAAATTGTAGCCCCCCTTTATTCACGGTAGTTTGATGACCTCAGGACCAAGACTTTCAAGGAAAAAAAATTGTAGCCCCCCTTTATTCACGGTAGTTTGATGACCTCAGGACCAAGACTTTCAAGGAAAAAAAAT